GACAACTGGGCCAAAAACCAACTGGGCCAAAAACCAACTGGGCCAAAATCAACTGGGCAAATGAGCCAACTGGGCCAAAACCAACTGGGCAAATGAACGAACTGGGCCAAAACCAACTGGGCCAAAACCAACTGGGCAAGACTGAATCGGACCGGGAAATAGGTTTCGATTGGAAATGCCCTCTGTTCGGAAACTATGATTAGGAATTCGGAAAAAGGGGTGATCTTTACCTAAATTAAAAACTCATGTTTTGTCTTCTTTAAATCAATCGCTGTGACACTTGACTCTTTTGTGCCATCATGTGAGCGCTCTGTCTTTCTCGGCCCTTCGGTTATTCGCTCGCCCAGCGACCCAGTTTTATTGCGCGAAAACTACCAACGACCGTGGTGGTAGTTCGCTTGCTGTTGAGGACTGGGGAGCGAAACTACGCGTCCATGAGGAAATTGTGAGCTATGCCTCGGAGGTATTCTACATGCTGTAGATGTTCGGCACGCTCGACCACTCCCAGGATTCGCTCGTCTGCACGAACGTACTTGGTCCTTTTTGTTGGAGGAGCACCGCCGGCTACGAATGATTCGACTTGTAGGTCACGGCCTTTTTGGACTTTCTTAAGCCCGTCGATGAACTTCCAAATTGTCGGATGCTGTATCCCGAATTCAACCTGGAGTCTGCGATGTGCCGCCTCCGCATAGTTATTCGTGCGGGCTTCTCCGTCGAGCGTTCTCTGGTATACTGACCACATCTCGACCGGGAACTGCGGTGTTCTCCGGTCTACGGTACCGTCGGCTCGGATCCGGTTCATACGCCCTATGTAAATGTCCTCGAAATAGTTGAGAACTGGAATCAACTCTTCCGGCAATACAGGCGAAAGCTCCGCGACTGCATTATCTAACTCTGACGGCGGAACGAATGCCAAAGCAGCTATCATTCGGGCTTTCAGTGCGAAGTCGTCATCGTTGGTATAGCGACTCCAAAGACCTTCCTGAGCTACGCGTAGTTTGATGTTCTTCACCAAGTGGAAGAAGCATCCCTGAATGCGTGTTTCGGGCGGGAAGCAAGCCCTGACCGCAATCATCATGGCCCGCTCGTAGTCCATGACCACGCTGGCGGGACAGAGGGCCGGCCAAGCCTCTTTCAAGAGATTCAGCATCCGAGTGTACGATTCGGCTGCTTTGTCTGGGAGCAACGCGTAGGCGACGGGCACAACGCACTGAGCTCGCTCGGCCAGAACTACGAACACCTGTCAATTGAATCCGAGTTTCAATAATCAGGAGCTTGAAATTGTTTCAATAAGACATTCGATCATTCTGGAATCGACCAATAGAGACCTGTGAGAATTGCGGCGGCGCGAGACTGAAAGTTCCATCGACATACAATTTGTCGACGAGGCCGATCCAGGAGCTCGACGATTCTCTGCCGAATACCAAGATCCGATTCGGATCTCCGACGCCGCTGTCCGCCACCAGGAAATTTTCAGAAACGCCCGGCTCGCTCTCATAGATCCTGTACGCTTCGGGTATGACAATGGAACCGCGAGAGTCCGGATTCGATGGAGCCGCAGAGCGGGCGTTCCGATGACGATTGATGAGACGAGAAATCGACTGGGGTCGATTCATGCGACCGAGCGTAGCCGTCGCCGCTGTGACCAAAGCCGTGTTAATCAAGGAGGAAGGTGCCTCACTTGTTACTTCGCAACGTCGTTTGATCGTCGAGGTGATTTTGGCGACCTCTACACCTGAGGGATCTGGCGGATCAGAGTGGATGCCACTTGTGCGGATAACTTCCCGCGTACTCATCAGAGTATAAGCTCTCGCCTTGCATGGAATCGGTGCGGTTTTGTACATACACCGCCAAGACTGCAAGCCGCTCTTCAGGACGTATGCTTTGACAAAGAGATGGCCATCGTGGGCCAATTTCTCCTGACCTCTCTGACTCGTAACGCCCGAAGTGGATTCCATTTCTCATCGAGCTGGTGATAATTATAGAAAAGAAAGAGACTAGTTGATTTTGAAAGGAAGCAGCTGGGATTATGCGAATACAATTTAATTTTCTGACGACGATCTTTATCCTATTCCACGTTGCGCCCAGATGAGTCGATCGAACATACTTGACAATATGGAACTAGAGTCTATCCTATCGGAGGTCCACCAGTCGATCACAAATACTCTCCTCACTTCAACAACAAACAAAAGCGGGAGAGATCGACGTCGGATCTTCGTGCGACCAAGTCAAGTCGCGAGCTGCCGTGCGAGCGACATCCCCTCAACTCACTTTACAGCTTAAAGGCGTCTCTCGATGGTCGCCAATATGAGCTCGGTATTGTCTCCGATCGTGTCTGTTCGTGTCTGTTGGGTCTTTGGCCCAATTTGTTCTTGGCCCAGTTGGTTTTTGGCCCAGTTGGTTTTTTGCCCAGTTGGTTTCTTGCCCAGTTGGTTTTTGGCCCAGTTGGTTCTTGGCCCAGTTGGTTTTGGCCCAGTTGTCCTGTACCGATTAATTGTTCGCATGATTCTTCACCACTGAACTGGAAAAATTCACGAATCTCATCGGGGAAATTATCGAACCTCCTTATGATCACTCTAGCGATATTGCAATAGGATGTGAAAATCGTTCGGTGCCGAGCTATTTGCTACCCGATGAAATGTTTGGCGGAACATCCGGCGTGAATAATCGATGACGGACCTAGATAATGCAAATCCGTGGACCGTAGGCTCAAAGCACAGTTGAATTGAGGCGGTTGCGGCTGATAGTCCCGCTGAGATAAGTCGGGAGATTAGCAATCAGAAACTCCATCAAACTGCGAGACATGAGGTCGGATTTCGGATACAACAACAGATAAAACCCTCCTCGCTGGGGCTCGAGATACATCGGAACATTCGACTTCAGAAACTCCATCAGACTGCCAAGCATGAGGTTGGATTTCGGATACCACAACTGTTGTTCCTAGATTGGTCGAAGGCTAGGTTCGGTAGATCAGCGGGACACGTACGAACTCAGAGAGGACAACCGGAGGTTGAGATGGGAGCACACCACAGTGATTTTATTGGAGAAAGTGACGTTTCATATATCAGTAGGTCGACCCTTTCCGAAAGGCACAGTTCGTAAGGCATCGAGTAAGATTTCCAGATGGTTACTAAATACGGAATCAGAAGAGAGGCCTGATGAGTGGAGCCTCTTACATGTGTAAGAGCTGGAGCCTCTGGCGCATGGCACAGTACGGAGTCGGGGTTTACCGAAATAGATTCGGACGAGAAAATTCGGACGAGTTGGTCCGAAGGTAAGAGTAAGATGAATAATAGTTTTGAGATAGATAATAGTTTGCCGTTCGAGAATATACAGGGTGGGCAAACTAAATTGGAACTTTTTCTATCGGACCGCCCGGGTCTGACGAAATGCATCCATCCGAAAGCAATGTTCGTCGGTTGTTGCTGTAGGTGTAGGCCATAGAATAGACCCACCACCATGAGCTCACCCGCAGCTGGCTTCTCGGAGCAAGCCCGGAGGCAGGCGATACTTCTCGCCCTCCGCGCTGGACTGAAGCCGGCGGATATCATATCTCGGCTCAAGTTGCCGAAAACGACCGTGTATCGAGTCGCGAAAGCTTCTTCGGAGGCGGGAAGACTTGGGGAAGACTCGTACCTCGGGAAAAGAAAAACTCATCAGCGGAAAAGACCGAAGCGGACTGAGAAATTGGTGAAAGCCATCAATCGGAGGCTTGCTAAAGATCATCACGCCTCCTTTCGGCAACTTGCCGCACAATTCGATGTATCCTACGGCACGGTCAGGAATGTGGTCCACAGGGACTTAGGCATCAATACTTATAAACTCAGAACTCGCCAAATGCTTTCCGAAGCAAATAGGAAATCAAGAATGGAGCGGTGTCTGAAATTACTGAGCTCTCTCAAGAACGAAGCCGCCGGATGCATTCGATATTTTTCGGATGAAAAATATTCACAGTGGAGGCCAAGTCTAATCATCAAAACCATCGTTGTCATGTCCGAAGCCAGGACGAAGCTTGCACTGAACCAA